GAGTCTGGAAGGTGGTCCCTAGAGCCGGAAGCTCTTGTCTCAGAGTCAATTCACCTGTTTCTTTGAGGTCTCCTTGAAGTCCTTTGATAAGTGGTGGTGATTGCCCATATAGGATCTTGTAGGGGGAAAACCCAGTCTTCTTGGTTGGGGCCAACCTGATGCTTAATAGTGCCATGGGGAGAACTTCGTCCCAATGTAGATGTGTTTCCTGACTTAGTTTTCCCAACTGAATCTTAAGGGTCCTGTCCTGAACTCTGTGGTCGATAGGCAGTATGCAATTTCCATTTAACATTTAAATTCTTAGCAGATAGCTGCACTATTTCTGGTATAAAGGCTGGCCCATTATCTGAGCCAGAGGTAATTGGTAGGCCAAATTGTGGAACAATTTCTCAGAGGAGCAGTCTGGCTACTTTTTGGGTCTTCTCAGTCCAAAAAAACCCAGGCCTAATTGGCCTCTACCTAATTGGAATAGGTGCATACAAAGACCAAGAGATACTTGAGGCCCTGTGATTGAGGCATTTTAGTGAAGTCTACTTTAAGTTCCTCAAAGAGAGTGCCACCAACACTTTGGACCCCCGGTAGGGCACATAGCCCTTGCTTGGGGTTTTTGCGGGCACAGACCTTACACTATTCACACACTGCTCGGGAGATGCTAGAGAGCTGGAGGACGTACGAGTATCGGCTCAGAGTGGTTTCTAGGGCAGTGCTACCAAGGTGAGTCCTTTGGTGAAACTGCTTGACAAAAGCTGGGGCTAGGGCCCCAAAGACTACAATTCGCCTGTCTTTGAACTTCCACCATCCACAGGGAGGAGGCTCCCCTCTTCAATCTTAAATTAGGCTGCTTCTTGAGGCACGCACTTGGGGTCCCATTTGGCTAAAGGACTGAAAACAGGGAAGCAGTTAGAGCCATAGGGTGGCCATTTTCTTGGCTGCTGCCAGTTTGGCAACATGGTCTGCCCTGCGGTTGCCCCGGGCCATTATGTCATCCCCTTTTTGATGTCCTCTGCAGTGCATGACTGCCACTTTCTTGGAGGCCCACAAAGCATCTTAGAGTTCTAGAATTTCTTTTCCATATTTTTGCTTTTTCTCCCTGAATTGATTAGACCCTTTTCTTTGTACAGGGCTCCATGTACATAGAGGGTGGTGAAGGCATACTTAGAGTCATTCTATATATTAGCACACACTCCTGCTGCCAGCTGAAAGGCGCAGGTCAAGGCAATGAGCTCTGCCTTCCATGCTGAGGTTCCCTTAGGCAGAAGTTTTGCTTCAGTAGTGGAATGTAGGGTCACCACAGCATATCCGGCAAGGCGTTCTCCTCCCCTCACAAAGCTGCTACCATCAGTGTAATATTCTACATCAGGGTCCTTGAGGGGGTGGTCTCTCAAATTGGGTTGGCTGGAAAGCTTCATCCATGACTTCAGTGTAATTGTGATCTGGCTGGCCAGACACAACAGGTAGCAAGGTGACGGGGTTCAAGATTTGTACTACCTCTAGGCAGATTTGTGGATTCTTGCATAGCATTCCTTGGTATCTGACCATCTGGGCATTGGTTAGCCAATATTGTTACGTGTATTCCAGTAATGTTGTTATTGAATGTGGTACTCGAACTGTCAGTTCTTGCCCCATAGTCGGTTTGTTGGCCTCTGACACAAGGAGAGTCATGGCTGTGAGTGCTTGCAAGCAGGGTGGCCATCCCTGGGCGACAGAGTCAAGGTGTTCAGAAACATAAGCCACAGGGCAGTGCCAAGATCCTAGCAGTTGGGTTAAGACCCCTACTGCGACACCCGTGCGCTCGTGTACATACAGAAAGAAAGATTTGGTTAAATCTGAGAATCCTAGTCCGGGGATGTTAGTGAGTGCCCGTTTGATTTCTTCAGAGGCCTTCTGTTGTGTAGATTCCCAGAGGCTCCACGTTCTTTTCCCTTTGTGACTTCATAGAGGGATTTGGCCAGGATGGAGAAATTAGGTATCCAGATTCTACAGAAACCAGCTGCTCTGAGGAATTTGCGGACTTGTCACCGGGTGGTAGGGATGGGAATTGAACAGACTGTTTGTTTCCTTTCTGGGCCCAGTTGGTGTTGTCCCTGCGACAGGTGTAAGCCGTGGTATTTGACTCTTTCTTGGCAGATTTGAGCCTTCCTTTTAGAGGCCTTGTAACCTGCTTCCCATAGGAGATTGAGGAGTAGATGCATTCTTTCCGTGCATTCCTCATAGGTCTTTCCTGTGAAGAGGAGGTCATCTACATACTGGAGTAATGTACAGCTGTGTTGGTCTGCCGGGAATGCCTTTAAATCTGAGGCTAGAACTGTCCCGAAATGGTTGCGGAGTTCTTGAACCCCTGAGGCAGCTGTGTCCATGTTACCTGGCCCTTGTTTCCGCTTTTAGGGCTTTCCCATTGGAAGGCAAAGATTGACTGACTTCTGGATCTGCTGACAACACAGGCCTCTTTTCCTTTAATTGACTTCGGGAGGGCGCCAAGGCTCAGGCTAGGAGGACCTTACAGTTGTCATTTAGGTAGACTCTCAACCAAGGGGGTCGGATGCGAACTATTGTCTCCCAGGAATCGTCATAAGGGAATTGATCTGGGTGGCCCGGTTGACTGGTAATGACTTGAGACCTTTGCAATGACTTCCCTATTGAGAGCTCCCTCTGCTGGCCACCCAACGCCAAAAGAGGGCCAGTCAATCATAAAAGGTGCAGAGTTTCTGTGGGGTGAGTTTAGCTTCATAATCTCCTGAATAACCCTTTTTGAAATTCTTAAGCATATGACCTAAAGGTGTCTACTCAGTTGTCTACCCATCCTTCCACCCGTGGTTGGTGTCTCACATGCACTCAGAGATTTGCTTCACCGGTCTCCGGCCACTCCCCTTGTGGGGATCCTAGCAATTGATGGGGCGGTATAAACCCCCGACTAGGATCACTGGAGTAGATTCCTCATGGAGATCCAGTGACACCACCCTAAGCTGTATGAGGTTCGCCACGGACCCGCAGATAGGGGCTCAACTCTCGCTTTGTAGGAAACCCACGTATTAGTCACATGCAAGCGCACACCATACACACACCACTCTCTGCCCTGTATACCTGAGAGGTCATTGTTTTCCTCTAACAAATGTAATCGAGTGACCTTGGGAGTTGAGCAGACTGCCCTTCTGTCCTCTAATGGAGGCTGTTCCTGGGACCCGGGTCCTTATCACTCGGTTGGGTGGTGTTCTCCGGGTTCCATTGTGCTCTCGGAGCCGCC